ATCCAGAATTTAAAAATGTGTTATATGTGATGTGTTATTATCATTATGGATCAGAATTTGTCACATTGCAAAGTTTTTGTTGACACTGAAACTTTTTTAGGAATAAAGCTGTTTTTTGCCTCCAAGTTTTTTTATTAGTGGCTGTGGAAATTGTCAGTGTTGTGTCATCATTCAGCACCACTGATGATCACTAGATGGAAGCAGGAGCCCGAGAGTGAAACTGTGTGTTCAGCAGGGCAGCTGTTGTGCTGTGATCTGAGAATCAGCTGATCGACTCAAAATGAGAGTAAACTACATCAGGTTCATGTTCGTGGATGGATTCAAACATCAACACGCTGATGGAAACTAAGAGGTGTAGCTGAGTGTGTGAGCTGGTTCAGTGTGGCTGTGCAGAGCTCCACCTGAGGGGCGAGTCCGGGCCGTCAGAGCTCTCTGTGCTTCACCACAACCACGACTCTCAGGCTCGGCTTAGTTTTTATCTTATTTATTTTATTATATTATTATATTTTTTTATTATATTATTATTATTAATATTATTATTATATTATATTTTTATTATATTATTATATATATTTATTCATCTCTTCGAGGACTTTACATTTAGTGAGTTTGTACTGACCGAATTAAAATCAACCTTTTTTGAAGATCTGTGTGGCATGAATAAGGCACGGCGGGTCCAGGGATCAGTGTTTTCAGACATTTTATTCACAACACCTCACACCACACCCCACACACACCCGAGTCCCCGTGTTTTAACGTGGCGGGCGTGATTGCTGTACTTACTGTACCTGCTTTGCAAGGACTTCATATAATTGGAGGAGACTTTAACTGTACTCTAATCCAGAGTATAGATCAACAGGCTCAGATACCTATAAAGCCCAAACTAGACGATTAATCAGTCAATTTAAATCAACGTGGTGGAAGTGTGGAGGGAACAAAATCCTGATTAAATAGAATTCTGCTGTCATTCGAGTCAGTCTGATAATATAGGAAAGTTTGTCCATAACAACCCAAACTGACAGTTTAACAGAAAATCTCTGGAGAATGTGAATCTGCTACATTTATAGAGGAGAAAATAGAAAATGACTTTGAGATACCAAACTTCATTCAAAGCATATATTAGAGGGGAAATCCTGAGCAACAAATGGAAACCCTGGATAAACAGATAAACAGATTTTTGGAATTAGACTTAAACGTTAGCAACAACTCATCAAAGTGAATTGTTACGTTTGAGAACTGAATATAATAAATTCTCTTCTGATGCATCAGCAAAAAGTCTAATGTGGCAGTCTTAGTATGACCAGGGAGGGAAAGCGAGAAAACTCTTGGTATGGAGAATGAAGGAAATGCAGAGTGAGAAGAATGTATCAGTCGATCCATCTGAACTTCAGTTCCAGACACGAACAGAAG